GAATAGTAATCTCTGACTCCCCATCCAGTTGACACCCAATCATTCCGTCACCTATATTAGCTATCCATTTAGCAAATTCCTCGATCTCCTTGCACTCGGATTCTGATTGAACACTTTTCAAGCGTAGATTCTTAGTCAGCCTCAAGACTTTACAGGATTGCCATAGATAGGATGAGCTAATGCTCGCACGAACTATATCAGGTCTAGTACCCTTGGAATGACTGGTAAAATTTGCCTGAAATCGCCACCCAAAACAACTGTTTTGCCACCGAATGTCATATCAGAACTCCTTGGATTTACGAAGCGCATCAAATCCCGCATAGTTCGATCCAAAGCTTCAAAGCAGAATTTATGCATCATTGGGGCTTCGTCCCATATTATCAGCTTTGTTTGCACAAGAAGTTCCGCCAGTTCACTGCCGTTCCTTATGTTGCACGTGGAATCTTCATTAACAGATATCGGTATAGCAAATCTGGAATGCGCCGTACGACCACCAGGTAATAACAGCGAAGCTATGCCGCTAGAAGCAACATTTAAAACTATTTGACTCTTAGACCTTAATGCGGAAGAAAGTGCTCGCCACAAGAAAGTCTTACCTGTCCCTCCATAACCAGATACGAAGAATAACCCACCTTGCTGGCAATCGACGTCAGTTAACACTTCATTGTATATTGCCCTTTGTTCGTCTGTTAACTGCCTTACCAATTCTTGATTCTCTTTCTCTTGTTCTCCACGATCGTATGATAATTCTTCTTGAATCAACCTATTTGCAATAATGTTTAACGCACCAAAATTGGCCGTTGGCATCTCAGGATAGTCCTTCAAACTCTTACCATGATTAGATAATAGCTTTTCAATCTGAACTAAAGCAAAGTTCATTTTGCGAATCGGTCAACACAAACTCTGCATACATATATATAAACATTTGTTTATAGCTCAAATACATTAAATTTGACTTAATATTCTTTTAAAAATGTACGATTACCTCTGTTCTGCAGTTGTGTACGGATATTGAATTGGGCATCGTCTGATAGATGTTGCCAAACGGCGTGCCAAACTATTTCCGGTTTCCCCATGCAACTGCTCATTAGTAATGTCACAAACAATCTCCCTCAATTGTTCCGCTGACGCCCAATGACTGGCTTCATCTATTGCATCAACATATTCGTTGTCATCATCAACTAAACCTCTTGCATAACACGCATCTCGGAATGAGTCATATTGTACTCCATTTACAGTCCTAATATCTTCGTAACTTTTAGGGCCGCGGACTTTGTTGAGCAAACACCTCAAATAGAAGATTTCACCAGTAGCTGGCGGACATAGAATATACGTCCTATTGAGAACCCTTTCTTTCGTGGCTGCCATTTTCTAAGGTCTTTCTTCCAAACGAATCTTGTTGGCATCTCAACATAAGTAAGCTCTCTGGCACCGGGGTATGTTTTATTAGCTTCAAACCATTCTAAAAACATGCTCTGTGCTATCGTAGGTCTATTCACAATGTTCTCAACCGCATCATATCTGCAAATATCACACTCTGTTGATTAGGTAGGTGAAAGCTTCAACCTCTCTACCGAAGGCGCACGAAGTTGTTATATCAAAACCAAACAGACGCCAGACCGCTTCACACGGGATATGTACCTACAGTCATAGTACATATTTATCTCATCTACTGCTTTCCCATTCTCGTCATCATTGCCTTTATTGTAAAATTCGGCTGTTACTCGATCATGACCTTGTTAACATACTTGAACAGGTACTGATTGACCTTGATTGGTTGCCACCACTCGACATTTATATGAGCCTTGTACTTGAGCAATAAATATCTATTGTGCGGTACCACATACCTGTTGTCCAAGACGATACCGTTCTTTGTAACTACACTGCCATTGTCTCTCCTTCTATATACCGGGTAACCATCGTCATCAAACGTAGAACTATCAACAAATCTCTTAGGAAAATGTTTAGAGCATCACGCATTTACCATGCATGGAGAATTTGTCCTCGCTTTTCCACATGGACCATGCATCATAAATTCCTCTACCGCTTGGTAATACTCAGCATCTTTCTTTTCATCCGGAATCTCTGCGGAAATTATGTTGTCTAGAGTGAGAACTTGCCTAACTTCTTTACTTTTCTCCAGAAAAAGTAATATATGAGCATGCGGAAGACCTCGCTTTTGAAACTCAATTGTATATATGACTGTAACAACATACAAATAAACATAATAAGGTTAAGCAATTACCTAAATTTATTTAGATAAATTGATTTCAAATAATAAAAAAAAAATATTACCTCCAGCCACAGGGCCAAATAGTTGATTCTTTCGACAGTCAGCTATCAAAGCATCCAACTTAATCTTGAATAAGCGGCAAATTATGTCCGGCCGGTCTTCTGGCTTCAACCTTTGATCTTTTAAAAAGCGTTGCCACCTCAGGCCACTTCGGATTGCATGTAAAAGTTATAAATAAATCTGGGTATCCAATCCATCTACATATTGCCATTGCATCTTGGTAGTTTTGTATCATGTATCTAGCACCACCCGTAAAACTCGAAGGTAGTATTATTCTACGACATTGGGCTGCAGGACTTATTTCACCCCTCGTCAAAGCATCAGTCAATCCACTATAACTCTCACACCTTAGGCTTTTTTTGGTGTGTCCTTATATAAATTAGTCTTCCAGACTCAACCATTGTGTAGCCATCTACAACGAACTGTTGGAACAACCGTTTGGCAAATAATATGGTACTCGGAGCTGACTGTCTAGATTGTATGCGGTAGCAAAAAAACTCCCTGGGGCTAATCCTCTGTCTACCACCAGAAGAGCGCCTGCCTACTACGTCGGCGAATGCAATGTCCTCCGATAACCATCTTCGCCATATGGAAACAAAATAGGGTATTGCAGTGGTAAGTATGAAGGATTTAATTCAGTAATCCTCTGTAGGTGGCCACCCTTCGATTGAACAATAATATCACGCTCTCCAATACTTGTATCCAGATCTCCAACAATTAAAGCTGCTACTTCAGAAACTTGAGGCAGATTATATGTCCTCGCATCTCTAGTTCGTTTTCCCAACAACTTTATTTTTACTTCGGCGCATGGATTAATATCCAACTCAGACATAGCCATGCGAAAAGACTTAACCAAGACATTATTTCATCCAGGTCTTTCTGAATGACATTCACTATTTCTACATGAATGTCATCTTGGTCACCACTACCCCTACAACAACATATACTTCGAATTGATATTTATTTAGATAAAAAATAGTATTTAATGTGTAATTACGGAAACTTCTTTACCTCACAGCATTTATACGGTTGTTCCTTTCATTTGCCGTGTCGTATATGTATAACTGGGCAAAATGAGGTTCTTTGCCTTGTTCTGGAAGTAAAGTGCCATTAGGTGGTAGTTTTGACACTTAATCGAAAAATTGGAGGTGCTCCCCCCTTGTTCACGTTCTTGTCAATTTTTCCACCCATTGATGTGAAGCAGAACATGTTGTTGTAGGTCCTAATGTTGTGTAAAAACTCTTTTGATATTTCGTCATTGCCGAAAAAGAGATCAAATATACCTTTTGGTGGCAACTTATTATCCGGCAATTTGATCTTCCCATTGTTGCAACACAACATAAACAGTAGCGATGCTTTTGTTGACAAATTCTTCTTCCTTTCTTCAAACCAAAACAGAGCCCCACAATGGACGCACTGATTCGTTGCATCACCAAAATTGCAGTATTAACCTGAAACCAAATATATACAAATTTAAATACTGATTTATATTTCAGGCACGTATAAAACAAACATACATACCATGTTGTGGACCAGAGGATGTCCCAATTTCCGAGGTCTGCCTAACAGCGTTACCCGATATATTTGCATCTGAAATTAAAAAACATTTAAAAATTATTTTTAATATTGAAAGAGTGACCATATGTACTTTACTTATATTTGTTTGAAACACCACAGGGGATATTTTTTTACCATCTATGTTCTGATTTGGTACATCGCTCATTGTATTGTTACTTTCATCTTCAAAGGCAGGTAGCAAGTCTCTGGTTGTTACATGGTCTTCGACAATTGCATATTTATCTAATGGTTTACGAATAGCCAATTCATCTTGTGTTATCGTCGAACCCGGATTTTGTTTATCTTTAATAAAAAATTTCTGGCAATTGCTTGGACCTATTTGTGTATTGCACTGCCGTACTGTACACATACATAATATTAGACAAATTTAAAGAATAACAATATTTAAAGTGACAATTAATTGAGACCACTACATTTTATGGGACTATAAAAAAATAAGTTGGTAGCACGTACTAACATAAAAAGGATAGAATTCTTAATATTATAAATTAAATACACTTAACATTATAACTTATGCTACCCTAGAATATGAAATAGTAATTTAACTGTATAAGTATTATTATATTTTATTAGAAAAATCACATGATAGACCATGGTCCACAATAATGTGTGCACCATAAATAGGAATAAAAGTGGAAAAGTGTATTTCAGCAAAAAATTGATATTAGAAATTGATATTATCAAATAAATCATATATCAGCAAAAAATTAGTGAAATTACAATTCCACACATACTTATATGTACCATGAGTTACATTATAATTAAATTACACATAACAAAAAAAATATAACTATTTGAACAAAAAATTAGAAATTGATATTATCAAATAAATCATATATCAGGCAAAAATTAGTGAAGTTACAATTCCACACATACTTATATGTACCATGAGTTACATTATAATTAAATTCACAAATAGTCTATAGCAATTCAGCTTAGGGCATTTACCGGTAGTGATGTTACTCAATGGTGTGATATTTTCATACAAACATCCTCGCTGGGGATTAGTGTAAGGAGTAGCTGTCGTCCGTTGGTCTTGATCTTGAGCAGCATTATTCGTAAAAGAGGAGCAACCGAAATGATTTGCTGTGATTGAAAATATACCATTAAATTAAGAACTAATTCCAATAATTATAACTCGAAACAATTAAGTACACATAACATAAATAATTTTACAATTGCACAACTTTAATACGTAATCAAATAGAATTATGTAGACGATGGTCCACATTCTAACTTAAATACAATTCAAATCTAAAAGTATATATCATTAAGTATAATGTATTCAATTAATTACACCTAATCAATTAATTAGAAATTGATATTAAACATAAATTACATTACAATTATAACAATTAATTTGACAAACAGCTTCGAACAATTAACAGTATAAGGACATTTAAATTAACAATTAATGTATATCAATTCATATATTGGGATTTACCATTACTGATGTTACTGAATGGTGTGATATCTGGGGACAAACCACATCCCAACGGATTTTGGGTTCGATTATTTGGCGTATGTTGCTCTTTCCCTTGACCAGCATTAGTCATTAATGATGATTTGCAAAAATTATTTGCTGTGAGGAAAAAAGAATCAATTAAAAGACGATAAAAACAACAGTAAGTACAACAATTGACATTTTTAAAATTAATCACACCTAATGCTATTCATTACGCTAGCCTATAAGTGTAAATTGTAATTGTTTTAAATAAGGTTTACATAATAAGTAGACCAATAAAAAGGTTTTTTAAATTCACAATGACGCTATATCAATTGAACTTAGTTGATTTACCGTTAGTCATGTTACTCAAGGGTGTGATGTTTTGCGACAAACACCCTCCTAGAGGAATGCGGGAAGGATTTCTTGCCGGAGGCTGTTGTTTTCCTTGAGCAGAATTATTCCTTGATGATGAGTTGCCCAATTCATTTTCTGCGAATTAGAATAGAACATTAAAATAAATAATAATCCAAATAATTAAAAATCCTAAAAATGAATTACACA